TCCAGAGAGCTTGTTTTGCGCCATAGTCGTTCAAGAGCGCGGCTATGTCTTTTTAGGATGTCTGGTTTCTTCAGTTTGCCACGATTGTAGTAGACGCGGCCTAAGTCTGCGTGTAGTGAGGGGAGCCAAGGTGTCTAGGGAGGATGAGAGCAAGCTGTTGAAGACAGAAATAGCCAGGTCGTAGCAAGATAAATAACAAAAATAAATAAATCAAAACCATTGTTTACTATTAGCAAATGTTAATCTTAGTTTAAGTGAACCTGCAGAAGTACACATGACTGGCCAACAAATCAAGGCCATTGAACTTTACAGTCACCATAGACAGAGCAGAGCATGTGGACTTGGATGCACCTTTAGGCATGGACTTGCATTTTGCTGTCAGGACTTTTGTGCTGTTGAGACATTTGTACTCAAAATTGTTAGTGGCATCAGTACAAATATTGTTTCATTTTTGAGCTTAGAAACGTCACCAAAGATATAGGTTAATACCCATTAGATACCAGTACATGCTTTTTAGTTCCAGTCTCATCGTTCGTACTGTCCTATTCTGCTCTTACTGCCAACTGTAACAGTTGTCAGGATGCATTGCAGAGTGTGACATGCACTGTGAATGCTTTTTCCCGTCCCTAGATTTATTGGGTATGGCCTTTTCTGAGTATCCAATGCATAAAAGTCAGTTGTGGGATTGCTGAAGAATGCAATCCAGTGTTAACCCTTCCTTTGCCATATATGTTACGCATACCTATGGCCTGTCCCTCTCAGACATGGCAAATTATTTTTGAGACAGTGCTTTAGCATACTGAATGTCCCCAGTTATTGTTTACATCTAGTAAACCTTTCCAAACAGAAACATAGAGGGTGCCATTGCTGACCTCCTTCTGTAAACTCCAGGGTATGATGCCCGGGATTTAGTACTTTGAGTAATTGGCTCAAAACAAGTATGTAGGTCAGGAAAGTCAGAGAAAAGTCAGAAGTCCTTATATACTACGGTACGTACCTGTTCTGCTACATTCGCAGAATGAAATGTCAGCTACGGCAGTTTCCATGTTTTTGTATTTTGGAGATATATGAAATAACAAACCACCAGGGAATTCCATCAATTATTATTGTGACAAGTGGTTCATAGGGCTCATAGCTATCTGTAGATCTATAGAAGAAATTAAGAGTATTTTCTATCACAATAATCATACAACGGATTTAAAAAGTAAAACAAACACAAGCAATCTTGAGAGAAAAAAAAAAGTCACTTATTTTATTATCAAATCACCATAAAGAACACATCTACGCACATAAATATTTATAGAAACCATATCAGAAGTTAGATTTCAGAATAGTTTTAATTCACCTATTTTTAATAAGTTAAATAACACTATAAATAGTATTTGTGTCAATACATGCCTTATCGTGAAAATGTATTACCATTTCCTTGTGTCCTACAATATAGCCAATCAACAATGGCCAAACTGGTCATGAAGGAGATTTGTTGTTGAGGATTGGTCAGAAACACACATTTCGTGATTGTAGATATATATGTGTACACACACACACACACACACACACACAATTATGAACATCACCTAGTTTTACAGTTCGTTCCTCAACATGCGATTAGTAACTGCTGGCATGTTACAGTAATTATTACTGATCTTGATTACTATGATACAACCTTTCAACTTAGAGCCCTTTGATGCAGACTTTCCAATCAGGTCTGCCTTTTTTTTGGGCGGACCTAATCGGAAGCCCAATGTTTTAATCTATGGGCAGACGGACATCCATTTACATCTGATTACCCCCAGCTCTGGCCAGGCCTGGAAAAACAAATCGGATCAGAGTTGCGTTTCCGTTGCGCTGGACCTGATTGTGCCAGAGCCAGATAATATGTTGTAAACTGACAAGTCCGTTTACATCAGATTCCCAATAGACCAACATGAGTCCGATAATTTCAGTTTTTCCCCCATTGCAAGATCACTAGATGTGTGATATGAGAATATCAGGCACTAAAAAAATAGATGAAAAATATCTTGAATTTAAAAAACAGCAATCCTGTCATCACCTACATTTGAAGCACCGTACAATACCTGGAAAGTGTAATATTTTGAAGGTCGGGCTCTAATAGCACAGTGGCAGTTGAAATCACATGACTTGATTCATGGAAAGCATTCCATGTTGTAATTCTAATTATTGAATTAATAAACTTTCAATGAAAGAAAAACACCTTCAATATGAATAATCACCTCATAAAAGAAAGGATCTTAGCTGAAAATTCTATTATGTCAAGAATATGCATCCATTGGTGTAACGTAAAAAATTTAGCGGTCACCTTCAAATCCAAGACCTGAATTAAAAGTACTTGGCGAGTTCATTCCTATGATGATGCTCCTTCTCTGTAGATGTGACCCTAGGACAGGAAGTGTGTTGGCATGATCACTAGGTAAAATTAAGGCAAAAA